AGAGTTTATCTACTTCTCCTTTTGTTTTGTTTGGATCCATACTGCAATGGAGGATTCTATATTTGTTTTTGTTAACCCAAGTTTAGGTTCGGGGCCTATGTATCCCCATACAGGTCACAGCAGGCTCAGCAATACCCAGATAATTGAATTCCTTAATGACTGGAATAGTTTGCAAATGATCAGATTCGCACGACAGGCTTGGTCGTATCGTCATGATCTACTTAGGGAAATCAATCATGATCAATAGTCCTTTTCCTTTTTAAATTAGTATTATTGTATTATTATTATTTTATTTTTATTTATAATTTTTGATCATTGTGGCTTCAACCTCCGGCAGACGGTTTTTATTCATGCCGTTATTTTATGTTAAGGTATATATTTTTGTTTTGTAAACATTTTGTATTAATAAAGCATTTATTATTATATTAGTTAGAGAGGGCCAATTTCACAGGAGTGATAGGATCACTTGCATCTGAGAAAACATCAACACCATATAGGCTATTTGATGATGACCCCCGATTTTGCAATGAGGAGGAAGAAAAAGCCACCCATATCATCTTGGAATGTGAAGCAAACGTTCAATGGTGCCATAACCTGATACAAAGAAAATCCAGGGAAAGTAATTGTAGTAACGACAATGACCTAACACTATTCAAAAGAAGAATCGAAGAAAATCTAGAAACCAACTCTCTTAATCACTGCAAATTTTCATCAAAATCCGTGTGATGGTTACAGTGATATAGCTGTGGACGAGATTTTACGTTTGCACATGCTTAGGTGATACCGTTGATACGATTGGGATGAAATTCATATGGAACCATCCTAGAAAACAGCCCGCAAATCTCTGACAATGCCATAAAATTTGGTCAAATGGTTTCTGAGTTTTTCCGGTTACAAGAAATTGACCGCAGACAGGGCGACGCGGAACCAAATTTGTACAGAAGAAAGTCTGGAACGCAAAATACGGGTGGAAATTTTGATTTTGGAGGGCAAATTTTTTTTTCGATTCCCCACCTTTGGCGGTTCGCAAGCAAAAAGCAAAACAAAGACAAAAACCTTTCACATCCGCAACTATTTTATTTCTCTTTAATAAAATGAGAATTGATCATTAGAAAATATAATTAAATACATAAATGACATGCGAGTTCAATAAAAACTAAGGTAATAATCATGACCCTGACACGGTTTACATGTACATATTCACATGGTCAATGGATCATGGTGATTTGATTTTTTTTTTTAAATGTTTAAAATTAATTTTTGTAAACTAAATTCCTTTTGTTTTGTAAAGATTAGGAGCCCCAATTACTAAAACACTGAAGAGGTACTGGCTTGCGAGGTTCAAAAATAACCTTTTCATCTGATTCATAAAATTATTTTCTATTCTATTGTAAACCTCGTTAGTTTTAAAAATATGTATTAGAGCATCAACCAATGACAGTGGATTCAACAACGCAAAAGCTCGAGAGAAACTGGCGACTAAGGAAAAAACTTTTTTATCTCTGTAAATATTATATTTATCTTTTAAGACAGTCAGAATTGACCATTCACAAATATAATTAATTATAAAATTGATATTTGAGTTCAATAAAAATTTGGCGATAATCATGATCAGGACATGGTTTACATATTCAAAAATATTCTCATGGTTTGTTGATGATTTTGATTTTTTCTTTAACAGGCATAAAATTAATTTTTATAAACCATGAATTTTTTTAATGATTATGACCTAACGTCTATACAGTTTTGGGTTCAGCAACAAAAAAATGAAGAGGTCCTGGCGGCTAAGAAAAAAAAAACCTTTTCATTTTTGTAAATATTATATTTATCTTTTTAAAAAATCAGCATTGTTAATTTAGAAATATAATCAATTATATAATTGATATTTGAGTTTAATAAAATAAATATGGCAATAATCATGATCCGGACATGATTTACATATACAAACTATTCACATGGTAAGATGACTTTTTTATTTATAATTTTGTTCTTTAATAAGCATAAAATTAATTTTTTAAAACCACGAATTCCCTTTGTTTGGAAATGATTAGGGGTATTGACCCGACGACTATACAGTTTTGGGTTCAGCAAAAAATAAAAAAAAGAAGAAGAGGTCCTGGCGGCTGGTAAATTTTTTTAAAACTCCGTAAATATTTAACTTATCTTTGAAAAAATCTACATTGATCATTTACAAATATAATTAATTATAGATTGATATTTGAAATTAGTAAAAAAATGACGACCATCATGATACGGGCATGGTTTACATATGCACATGGTCAATGTTATATGATCGTGATTTGATTTATGATTTTTTTTCTTTCTTTAATATGCATAACATTATTATTAACCGTGAATTCAATTTGTTTGAAAAATACTGGGATTATCGATCCAACGACTGTTTGGTTTTGGGTTCATCGACAAAAAACGTGAAGAGGTCCTGGCGGCCGAGGGGAATTTTTTTACATCGGTAAATATTTAATTTATCCTTCAAAAAATTAGCATTGATCATTTATAAATATAATTATTAAATATTATTGATATTTGAATTCAGTAAAAAAAATGGTGACAATCATGATACGCACATGGCTTACAACAACAAAACACCCGAAGAGATCCTGGCGGCTGAGGAAAATTTTTTACCTCGGTAAATATTTAATTTATCCTTCAAAAAATCAGCATTGATCATTTATAAATATAATTATTAAATATTATTGATATTTGAATTCAGTAAAAAAAATGGCAACGATCATGATACGCACAGAGGTTTTTTTCTTGGCCGCTATGACCTCTTCATTTTTTTTTTTTTTTTTTTTGCTGAACCCAAAACTGTAGTCGTGTCAATATCCCTAATCATTTCAAAACAAACGGAATTCATGGTTTATAAAAATTAATTTTATGCTTATTTTTTTCAATTAATTAATATTTATGAAAGGTTTGGTTGAGATAAAAAAAGAAAAAAGGGCAAAAATGAGGGAAAATTCGAGAGGTGAGGTTGACATGGGAAGTTAGCGTCCGAGAGAATCGAAGTCACGATAGCACAAGTGGTAGAGCAGCGGCGTATCCAGCCGAAGATCGTGGGTTCGAATCCCGCCCGTGACACTGACTTTTTTATCTCAACCAATACCCTTCATAAATATTAATTAATTGAAAAAAATAAGCATAAAATTAATTTTTATAAACCATGAATTCCGTTTGTTTGATTTACATGAAATTATTAGGGATATTGACCCAACGACTACAGTTTTGGGTTCAGAAAAAAAATGAGGTCCTAGCGGCCAAGAAAAAAAAACTTTTCATCTCTGTAAATATTATATTTATCTTTTTAACAAAATCAGGACTCTTAATTTATAAACTTTAGTATTATATAATTGATATTTGAGTTCAATACAAAAAATATGACGATAATCATCATCCCGACATGGTTTATATATTAAAAATATTCACATGGCCATATTATACGATGGTGATTTAGTTTATGATTTTTTTTCTTTAATAAGCATAAAATTATTTTTTTTCACCGTGAATTCAGTTCGTTTTAAAAATGTTGGGATTATCGATCCAGCGACTCGGTTTTAATATTTAATTTATCTTTTAAAAAATCTGAATTGATCATTTACAAATATAATTATGTAATTGATATTTCAATTTAAAAAAAAATGGCGATAATCATAACCCGGATATGATTTACATAAACAACCTGTTGACATGGATAGATGATGTTTTATTTTTAATTTTTTTTTTTTGTAATAAGCATAAAATTAATTTTTATATACCATGAATTCCGTTTGTTTTTAAATGATTAAGGATATTGACCCAACGACTGAACAGTTTTGGGTTCAGCAAAAAATTGATTGAATGATCATTTACAAATATAATTAATTATGTAATTAATATGAGTTCAATAACAAAAATATGGCGACAATCATGATCCGAACACGGTTTACATATACAAACTATTCACGTGGTTAGATGTTTTTTGATTTTTTCCCCTTTAATAAGCATAATGTTAATTTTGATAAAGCATGAATTCCGTGTTTTGATATGACTAGGGGTACTGACCCAACGACGTTCACGGTTTGGGGTTCGACAACCAAAAAAACCTGAAGAGGTCCTGGCGCCTAAGAAAAAAACCTCCTCATCTGGTTTTGCTATTTATTTGCTATTTATTCTTACATAAAATAAGCGTTGAAAACGAACAAAAAAAAGTTAATTAGTCACTTCGTTTCAAACTGTGGTAGGCTGTAATGTTTAACGAGAGAATATCTCTGACCCCGAGATAAAAAGCTTCCAGCTGGAATATAAATTACGAATAGATTTTACAAAATTGTCATCAGGGGTGATAACGAGGGATGACTTGTCTTGGCTTGAAAGCGTCATTATGTTGAGACAACATTTTAAAGGATTGAACTTTTATGCTCCTGGCCAGGTGAAATAAAAGGGTACTAGACTAACTAAAACAAAGGGAATTTTTTTGACTTTTTTTTTAAATTTAGTTACAGTGTATTACGACAACCCTCAGTTGGGTACCAATTAACAACTAAAACATATAAAGAGGGTAGAAAATCATTGGAACTATGAGTAAATGTTGTCTAATCGATGTTAGTGTCACTCGCTGTAAAGATCACTCGGCCATCGTCTTTTTAATCGACGACGAGGGTTGTTGGGATCAGTTTTTATATTTGAGGATGTTGGGCAGTTTCATTGGACACGTAAAAAGCTCTTTGGATAAAGACAAACAAGTTAATTGGTCTGAGGGATAAAAAGATGCCTTGGATAACGGGAGAAGGGGATGCCTGCTAAAACCTGACCACTCTAATATAAAAGCGAATGACCTTATAAACAAAGGATCATGTATGCTGTGGATGTGTCTCATCATCAAATTTTAATTATCAACAGTCATCATATATTTTTCAAACAGCAATAAATAAAGAAAGATACCAACTGGCGTATTAAATTTGTACCGAGAGTGTCGTGGGCCTGGACGTCCCCGGACTTACCTGGCGTATGGTGTGAGGTGGTGATGACTTATGAGTCCCGTTGGATATTGATGATGTCAAATATTGTTGATGTTTGTACGGCACGAGGAGTGTAGCTGGAAGATATGAACGATCGGAATGCCGAAGCCGGACTGGCTTCCTTTTCCATTTCCCACTCGTTCCTTAACGTTTCACAACAATCTGCGCATAGCGGCTGCGCCTTCGCGTTTCACGACCCCCTTCTTCGACAATAGCCGTCCTGATCCTGTCACCATGTCCTGCGACCTGCAGTCCTGTACCTGTACCTATTTCCGAGACTACTCTCGCCTCACACACAGACCCTCTAAAAGTTATATTTTGAAAATCACCAGTAGTAGATTGTTCCTCATATAGACCCATCAATATAATATGTGTACTGGGAAAATTTTTTGATAAAATTGTATTCAATCAAATATATTCATATATAGAAACGCGAAACATTCTTAAACCATATCAATATGGCTACCGAAATGCACATAGCACTGAAACTGCTATGATCATGCTGACGGATGAAATAAGAAAAAGTATCGATGAAAACCAGGTGACGGTGATGACCCTTGTGGACTTCAGTCATGCATTTAATAGCGTTAATCACGAAATACTAATGGCCATAATGAAATCAATTAATTTTTCTGATAAGGTGATGTGGTTCCATAGCTATTTAAATAATAGACATCAGAAAATTAAAACTGCTGAGGGCCGTAGGTTTGACAGTCAATTGATTAAGTAAGGAGTACCACAGGGGTCAACACTGTCAGCGCTAATTTTCTCCATTTACATAAACAATATTGAAGACGCTTTTCGAACTTGTAAATTGTGCATGTACGCAGATGATTTAAATGCTTTTGTACAATCTAACACACTGAATATAAATGATACCATAGCTAAAGTTAACCAGACTTACAAAATCTAAATGACTGGAGTAGAATGCACTCATTAGTACTGAATCCTAACAAATGTAAAGCCATATTGATAGGTCTTAATAAATTGCTAGAAAAAATAAATGTAAATTGCATTAGTAAAATCAAAATAGAAGAAAACAAATTAAAGTTTGAAGAAAAAGTAAAATGCTTAGGTTTAATTATAGAAAAAAATTTAAATTGGAATTCACAAACATTATCAATCAAAGGTAAAATGTATTCTATAGTTTATAAATTAAAATAATTATTATAGGTTGTAAAATGCAATGTCAATGTTCAAAAAAAGTTAGTGCAAACCCTGATATTTCCCTACATATTGTACGGCCTAGCTTCCATGAGCGATTTAAATTGCATGCAAATTTATAGATTACAAGTAGGAGTAAATATGAGGTATATTTTAAATTTAAAATATGATGATTGCATACATGACAAATTTGCGCAGCTAGAAATTTTAAAAATAAAAGACATGTTGGATTATAAAATTCTATGTACCGTGTTTAAAATAATAAAAACAAAAAACCCCAGCATACATATGAGAACATTAAATTCACTTCTGAAATACATAATATTAATACAAGATATAAAGATAGGCATATATATCTACAAAAACATAGAACAAAAACATTTAGTAATTCTTTTATAATGAAAGGTGCCCAAACGTTCTCTAAACTCCCAACTGCATGCAGAAATGTAATAAAATAGAAAGTTTTAAAAAACAATTAAAAACTCGGTTACTTTTTTTAGGTATGTGTAAGATTTGGTCAGAAAAATTAAAGAAAAAATGTACTTTTATTTTTATTGTTAATTACTATTGTCAGTTTAATAACTAAGTTTATATATATATTTAATTACTGTTATAAGAGATGTAAAAACTAAGGTTAATTCAATTTAAAACTATGCTTAATTTAAATCATAATACCATTGGACATTTTAATATCTCTCTGTTAATAAGAACTAAATACCCTGTAAAAGAAAGTTCACTTATTTTACTTTGTGCTGAAGGAATTTTGTTTTATTTTGAAAAGCAAAATTTAATTTATTTAGTTATTGTTATGTTATTTTTCGTTCGCGTTCTTGTTGTACAATGAATTGGTCAAAGTGTAAAACCAAGGAATATTTTTGTTTTATGTACTTCTAAAAGTTTGAGTAGAGCAATTGTAAAAATAAATCTTTACTTCTCTTTAGATGTAAGAGTGGTCCTCGAGACCAAATCTTGAGGGATTATGTAAATATAGCGATATTAATCAATCTCTCTCTCTCCCTCTCTTTCTTGCTTTCTTTTCTTCTCCCTTTCAATCTCTTCTCTCATTCTATCTCTCACTGACTCTCACACTTTCTCCTCTCCCCATTGACTCTTCTCTCTTGTTTATTCGATTTTTACATCTACCTTATAGTTTTTGTGTTAAAACTAGTTAACAATTCTCTCTTTTTCACTGACTCATTTGCTCTCTCTCCTTCTTTCGCTGACTCACTCTCTCTCTCTCTCTCTCTCACTCACTCACTCACTCACTCACTTTCTCTNCACTCTCTCTCTCTCTCTCCACCTCTATATATCTTTTATCTAGCTTCTCTAGTAGTTGAAAGTATTTGCGCTTGTCTGTTGTGAAATAATCTTCAAATATTTTTCTTATTTTGAAATGTGTTGATGTGTTAATATGTTTAACAAATATGTGTTGATATGTCAAAAAATATACTCATAGATTCCTCCGTATAGAAATAGGAACAAATAGTTTCTGCAATAGATAAATCGACAAATTCACTTTTAGGACCAGTAGATGTAAGGTGTTATTTATGCATCAATTATTAATTGATAAATTAATTACTCTTTAAATTTTTTAAATTTAAATATTTATGTATAATTTTGAAGGTTTTTTATTTTATCTGTGATGCTGGAATTTAAATTCTTTTATTGTTTATTAAATTTTTTATTAACTCTACTGTTACATAAGAGATGAAAAAAGAATTTTTTGACTTTTTATCTGTATCACCCTGAACTAATTTGCCTTTCACTTCCTTAATAACATTTATACCACTACTCAAGACCTCCTATTAAGTTAAAATACTATGAAAGTTAGCAATAAAAATTATGTATCATTAATATTCAGATTATTATCACAATTAAAAATATGGTTAAAGAAATTTAAATAAATTAAGAATTAAGCTTATTTGGCGATTTATAAAATAGTTTTGTTGTTAGCAACCAAATGTTGCCATAGGTAACAGAGTACAAAACCCTCATGCCAGTCTTTTCCAGTTTGACAATCTTCTTTATTTTATAATGTAAGCATATGTTCTATTTATTAATATAAAATTACTTTTTAATATTAAAAACATTAATAACCTTCAGCCTTCAGGTTCTTAAGAAAAGTGTTAAATATAGGAACTTTCTAATTATTAAGTATATTTTTTTATTATTTTATAATACAGTGTTAGCTTTACGTTTAATAAAACTAATACTACAATTAATTTAATTTTTAACTTTAGTCCGAGGAATTCATTCAAGATTTATGCAATTAGAAAATAAACACTGTTAAAATTATGCTAGGAAAAATGGAAAGAAAGCCATCGATAAGAATGAGAAAAAAGGCAAAAAAATACGTTAATCACATTATTATAAAAATTTTGTTACTTTTAATGGCAATACTCTTGTTTTAGAAACCGACCAGACAGGCTTCAAGACTCGCGACGATGTACGACGATGAAGTTGATGTCGTAGACGCCGATGAAGTGCAGAGTAACTCTGGCAACTCTCCCAAAAGCCCAAAAAACTACCCTCCGAGCAGGATGGAAATGCATGCCGAAATGCGGCCTAAAAACGAACGTCCTCAATCAGCTAACAAGCTGGTAATAAAACAATGTTTTAACGTGCGAAAGACACGAAAAAATTCTGCTGAAATTAAAGCCGAAAGAATATTTCTTAGTATTAAAACAAATAGCCAAAATAAAATTAAATCTATGAATATTGTCGGATTTCACACCATAACAAAGTTTAAAGTTGTCCACTAAAAATAAACAAACTTCCAGGATCACATACAAGCAAGACTTCACTATGTAGGATTGTTTTTCTTAATTTTTTTATATTTTTATAATTGAAAATTGATTTTTGAATAAATAGACAATTTTTCTTTTTTGTTTTAAGAATCGATCGACACCAAATGTGAGGCTCAATCCTACAAACAGTCCCTATGCCAGGGAAATGGGAAATACGGCCGAAAGCTCAGAAGGGTCTGAAAATTCTGATGATGATGATGATGAAGATGTTCAGGCTGCAGTTCTAGAAGGGTGAGTTTTCAATGTATACCAGAATCATAATTCCATATAACACATGAATATATAAAATTACTAAAATTTGCTGTCAGAATAAAAATTGTTGAATAAATAAATAATATGTTGGAATTTTTTCATGCCAAACATTAGTACAAGATTTATTCAATTTTTAGTTCAAACTTAATATTTTTAACAAAATATTTTTAAATAAATTTTATTTTATATTTTTTTTATCAGATTGACATTATATATGACAAAATATATCAATTGGATAATTGAAAAATAATAGTTTTTATGGAAAATTTATATTTTAGGGCGTATGATCCAAAAGAATATGAACACTTGCCCGTTTCAAGCGATATCAAAGAACTTTTTGAGTATATAACTTAGTAAGTATATCGTCTTATGTCTTGAAATTCAGATAAGACAAAATAAAATTTTGTCCCATTCAAGTTACACGCCACAAGTCATGGACATGGATTACAAACTACAGCAATTTGTCCCTGAGTATATTCCAGCCGTAGGCGACATCGACGCATTCATAAAAGTAGCTAGGCCAGACGGGATTGATGACCAGATCGGTCTGTTAGTGCTCGACGAACCCAGTTCTGTCCAGAGCGAGCCGGCTGTGATGCACCTGAAACTAAGAGCTTCAACAAAACAAAGCTCAGCCAAAACTATTGTACATAGTCTTGTAACATTAAAACATGTAAACGCTTTTTTTTAAACTTTTTTTTTACAGGTTGTCAAAAAATTACAAAATGCTGACAAGAACCCAAAAGCAATCGAAAAGTGGATTCAGGACATAAGTGAATTACATAAATCTAAGCCTGCCCCAACAATCCAATATTCAAGGTATATCACCTAAAAATTCTCCAAATTGCTTACTTAGATTAATTTTAAATTATTGTTAAAAAAAAAACAATATTACAGCATCGTATAAATAATAATACGTGCAAAAGGTGAAGCGGTACTGGGTCACTTACTGTGTCCATCTTCACTTGTGTGTTTGTTGAACTACTCAAATAGTACTCACTGAAGATGGCACAATGCAAAACACATTTGACTAGTTCAGCAAACCCCTGAAGAAAGATGGACCCAATAAGTGACCAGGTTCCGGTTCAGCATTTCACCGACTCGCAGACCAACAGCATCATCTCTAAAGCAGCCAGTCAAGCTAAGTTACTTGAACTTAGCCTTTATTGAAGTTGGCACCATGCTGAAATTTGAGAGTTTCCCATCGGGACTTCATTAAACAATTTAATTTTTAAGTTAATTTTAATTTTTTTACGAGGGTTCACAACAGCAGAGGTTATAGGTTATATCAACCCTCGGTGTTTTTGAAAAAAAGCCCATTTGTAAGTATATCGGGTTCGAATGCAGAGCCGCTGGATTTGAACCCGGGACCTTTACCTTATAGTGATGAGCGTCATGTCAAAGCCTAAACCGTTGCAGCCACCGACACCTCTCCCTTTTAAGTTATTATAATTATTTTTGTCTTCCGTTTTTAATTCCACATAACATAATTATATTATATCATTATATTATTATCATTTTTATTTTATTCATCAGTACTCTAGTCAGATTAAATTATTATTAATTTTATATAAATTTTTTATTCAAAATTTCAGGCCAATGCCTGACATTGACAGTTTGATGCAAGAATGGCCTCCAGATTTTGAGCAGAAACTAAACGAAGTCGGTCTCCCTCTTGAAGAATTAGAAGTTGATCTTCTTACATATGTCGATATAATACTCGGTATGTCGACACTTTTTGACATGATTTGTTTAAAAATGTATATATTTTTTGTTTTTGTTATTTAGCTCTTTTTGACATACCTCGCTATGAGTCAAGAATTGAATCCCTTCATGTACTATTTTCTCTTTATTCGGCTGTTAAGAATTACAAAAACAATAATGACAGCCTCACAAATGATGAAAATGATTAAAATAAATAGAAATAAATTGAATGTATTTATTTTTAAAGTTACACTATGATTAATAATTTATATAACGAAAATAAAATAATGATACCAACTGTGTATATTTATCTTACGACAAAGCTGAAATGTTCATGTCCTTTTCTTTGACAATGGCCATCCTGTCATCATGTCCTAACACACAGCCACTTCTCACATAACAGTGAAATATATATTTTAAAAAGTTTCTGTCTTTCTCTCTCGTTTTATGTCTCTAACTCTTTATTTCTCCTTCTCTCTTTTTTTCTCTCTCTCTCACTCCCTTACTCACTCACTCAACTCCCTCTCACCTTTGGTCCTGGCATCTAAATAAATATATACCAATAAAAAACTGTCAGAGGGTATTTCTACATCACATCCTTATTCTTCCTTTCTTACACTTTCCCTGTTTTTATTTCTTAATTAATTCTTAACTTTCTTACTCACTTATTTACACACTGTGGGACCACGTAGCCAATTGGTCGCAGTGTTAAACGCTCTTTTCTTAGACCCAGCGCTCGTGGGTTCAATTCCCACAATCATCCCTGGCTTTTTTCAAACTTCTTTTCCCACAAAAATACAATTACAAAATAAATTAATTATGTGCTCAGGCTAATATTGATAAAATAATGCCAATAAAAAAAAATTAATAAGAAAAAATATCAAAATTTAATTGGCAACATGCTAAAAGTTACTTTAAGACTATATATAAAGTGGAAGGTTTATGGGCCGACAAACAGCTGAGGTCATCACAGGCCCTCAGCGTGTATTCCTTCTCTTTCCTGTCTTTCTCGCATGTTTTGTATTGAACTGCAGCCATTTGAGCATCTCGATCTGGTTACTGACTCTCTGCTTTTATTTGTATATTACGTCGTTATTTTAAAATGCTAGCTCTCAGGTTGTCAATTTAAGAATAGATACACAACATACAATACATAACATATATATCGCCACAAACATAGAAGTCTGGTCACATTCACTCCCCCAGAGTACTCGATATTCCTCGGGGCGGGGTTTAACCCACTCCATTCGCGCGAATAACTTACTTTTACTCTCCATACATCACACACTCACCCCAGAGTACTCGATATTCCTCGGGGCGGGGTAAATAACCCCTTCCTTTCACGTAAATAAATTACATTCATCCTAATGTATTAACATAAACACCACACAAACACTTCAGACCCAACACAAGCACAGCATAAACACACATAAACTATATACATTTGAAGATCCCTATAGCCCTGAGGTACCGGTACAGCGATTTGTGCCCGCTGCCGTGCCCCAAGACTACGCACAGGTCCGATGATATTCCAAAATATTGCCTATAAACGTCGAGCTTTCTACAATTGAAAAGGCGCTCGACTGTTACTCTATCTTTGCATAATGGGCACCTTTGCGGTCGCTTTCCTGCTAGAAGGTGTGTGTAATCCTTGTATGACCTATGCGTAGTCTTGTCAGTATGACCTTTTCCCTTTTTGACCCATTTTCTGTGAACCAGGGACCGACGTCTTTCTTAACCTGCCACAGTTTGGCAGGGTTATTTCTATTTTTCCGCGCCCAGCGGTTTTTCCATTCTTCTTTTATCGTATTTGAAATTAATAACTTGAGATCCGCTGGGCGTATAGGTTGGGAAGCGTCGTGAGGTCCTCTGGCTGCTTCTTTGGTCGCCATGTCTGCTTCTTCGTTCCCGGCTATCCCTATGTGGCCGGGAACCCACACCAACACGACCTTCTTCCCAACTGTGTTGATCCCTTTTCTGCTGAATTTCTATTTATACAAATTACGATTGTCTTTCTTCTGTAATTTGAATCCAAACTTATAAGGAAGATACAGATGGAATTTTTAAAAATCAGAGAATTGTCTTTCTCCTGTAATTTGAATCCAAACTAATAAGGAACATATAGATGGAATTTTTAAAAAGTCAGAGAATTGTCTTTCTCCTGTAATTTGAATCCAAACTAATAAGGAAGATATAGATGGAATTTTTAAAAAGTCAGAGAATTGTCTTTCTTATGTAATTTGGATCCAAAAGAAGGAATTTTTAAAAATCAGAGAATTGTCTTTCTTCTGTAATTTGAATCCAAACTTATAAGGAAGATACAGATCGAATTTTTAAAAATCAGAGGCTAACGAGAGGAAAAAGAAACGGTAGCGAAATTCATTCAAGGCCGAATGAAATGAGAATGAATAAAAGCGAAAGGGAAAACTACCATGCCTAATGAAGTATTATTTTTCCAAGCATCGATTTTGTAATGCAAATTAAGCTAATATTGATAAATATCGACCAATAAACCTGATACACACAGTGTTCACACCAAACATTATTGAGTAGGAAAGAAATAAAGATAACAAATTTTGTAATAGATAACAAGGCAACGTTCAAGCTCTTCATTTCAGTTCGGAATACAAGTAGCAAGTGCAATCGTTCATAAATAATAATTTAAATTTTTTAAGATATAAAGTGAATACAAAGTTTCCTTATTATCTAAAATAAATCAATTTCTTTAGGTTTTGATTAAAGGACATCACAATACCAGGTATTTTTTATTATCACTGTATTAAAAAAATCAAAAAAATCTGGCTTTTGCTTTGGCATTTTACTGTTGGAATCAAAAAATTGTACAGATTTATATAAAAGTTATTTCAAAGAATAAAAAACATTATTTTGCGTTAATTGATAGAATAAAAATTATTCTAATAATAAAGTACATTTCTTTCCTCCATACCATCTCGAGGTATATAAGGAAATAATAAAGGAAAATTTATCCCAAATTTCTGAATTTACTTTTTCCTCGCTGAAATTAATAAATTTTTAAGTGAGATAAAACCAAGCGATTCATTGTCACAAGTCACATGGCAATTGCTCAATCGATGTCTAATTTTCTGATTGATTAGTTTATCGGAGAATTTATTTGGGCAAAATTTGTAAAATGATACTTTCATTTTTCTTTACAATGTGCAGTATTTAGTGATCGGTAATTAATGATTATTTAGAGATCGTAAGATATGGTCTGGTGTGATGTAGGTTTAGAAAAACATTTTCTTTATAGTAGCAACGTTTCAATCTTTCTTTACAATATACTATTTTACAAAATTAAATTAAATTCTTATCATTTGTGTATCAATTTAGTTTCAATAATAAACTTAAAATAAACATAAAATTCCTAATTCTCATTTCTTTGCTTCTTCTTGGCCTAATTATACTAGTATATATAGTATATTAGTATGTATATAATAAAATCACAATATTCATTATAAAGATTCGACATTAAATAAATATAAAATTGCATAATAAATAAAACATGATTTGATGCATTTATCCATAAACAGATAGTGTAATTATGAAAAAAAAAAAATAGTGACGACAAAAAGCATTCATATTCAGATTAAAAAAAACGCCTAGATTCTGCTATGGCATTTTCAAATATTTACAAAGCTAACTTCAGCCTGTGACTATGCCAATGAATCAAGTTTGCTGATATTTCTACTATGCCAAAGATTGCAGATCAGATAACGATCAGCGATAACAGATACTCTGTCTCTATGCTAATATTTTTCCTTGAACCAGCAATTTGAAACCATATTCCATCAGTCCTTGTGACATTCTCTTCATACTAAGGTCAGTGATATTCACAAATTGTTTCTGATCGTTTCATTCATTATTGTATAATTGGGCTTATTTGTTTTTCCGTAATATTTAATTATTGATTTTTCGACGTACCCAAATGAAAAAAGAATTTTTAAAAAAATAACAATAATAATAAGTGTACAGACAAAACATTTTTTTTCTTATACATGATTTCCTTGAATCCTATAATACATTCAGTCATAATTCATAAATCATACAAATTTGTACTATGAGCACTGCTCCTGGAGAATGCATGTTGTGATAAGTCACCTAGGCTGACACATTGCCAAGTAGGCCTGATTCAGGGAGGTAGGACTTAGAAGTAGAGTAGAACTTCAGCTGGGAACAGATCAAGTCTTAAATGAAGGGAATGTCAAGGAAGTCATGGTGGATGGTGAGGTTAAGGTGTAGTAAAAAACTTGGAGAATTCTCCTGAATTTGTTTGGATCACTTGCATTAGTTTGATACTAAATGGTTTGATGGCCCCAACAGCTCCACTCCATATGTCCGAACAGGTCAAAGTTGTGTTTAGTACAGTTTTAGTTCGTTGCTGACGGATTCGCAGGTGATTAGGTCCTTGGAGGATTCAGGAGAGGTGAGATAGTAGAGAGTGCTTGAATAGGGAAACTATAGAAACTGAAGAAACTATAATAGAACTTCAGATGGGAACAGATCAAGTCTTGAATGAAGGGAATGCCAAGGAAGTCATGGTAGATGGTGAGGTTAAGATGTAGTAAAAAGCTTAGAGAATTCTCCTGAATTTGAATGGATCACTTGAATTAGTTTGATACTAAATGGTTTGATGGTACCCAAACTGCTCCACTCCATATGTCCAAACAGGTCAAAGCTGTGTTTGGTACAGTTTTAGTTTGTTGCTGAAGGATTAGGTCCTTGGAGGATTCAGGAGAGGTGATATAGTAGAGAGTGCTTGAGTGTTCAGTGTGAGACAAAAAGTTAGAGTGGAACTTCAACAAGTCAGAACGGATCAAGCCTTGAATGAAGGGAATGTCGAGGTCATGGTGAATGGTGAGGTTAAAGATAAAGAGCTTGGAGAATTCTTCTGAATTTGACCGGAATGCTTGAATTAGGTTGATATTAAATGGCTTGGTGGTATCCAACAGCTCCACTCCATATGTCTGAACAGGACAAAGTTGTGTTTAGTACAGTTTTAGGTTGTCGCTGATGGATTCGGAGGTGATTAGGTCCTTGGAGGATTCAGGAGAGGTGAGATAGTAGAGAGTGCTTGAATAGGGAAACTATAGAAACTGAAGAAACTATAATAGAACTTCAGATGGGAACAGATCAAGTCTTGAATGAAGGGAATGCCAAGGAAGTCATGGTAGATGGTGAGGTTAAGATGTAGTAAAAAGCTTAGAGAATTCTCCTGAATTTGAATGGATCACTTGAATTAGTTTGATACTAAATGGTTTGATGGTACCCAACTGCTCCACTCCATATGTCCGAACAGGTCAAAGTTGTGTTTAGTACAGGTGTAGTTTGTTGCTGAAGGATTCGGTGATTAGGTCCTTGGAAGATTCAGGAGAGACGAGATAGTAGGGAGTGCTTGAACATTCACAAGCACAATTCTCATATTGTGTGGCAGTCATACATGCTCCCTATATTGAGCCAAGGAATAAGATCGCGGTGGTTAAGTCCGGAGGTTGTGACATCCTTAGATACCTCGTCCTCCTTTCCATTAGTTACTATTCACACATCCAGTCTGATTTATAATATCCAATATTTATAAATAAATTTATAATATAAATACTAATATTCTCTTTAATTAATATTTATAATTTTAGCTGGTTAAAAAATGAAAAATAATGAGACTATTCTCGTACAAAAAATACCAGACCATCCTATGTCGTCTACAAGTACACAAGATTTATTGGTTGACCCCAACTTGATCTCTTCTATTTCTAATAACGAATTAAAGCCAGATGCTTTTATCGAACCGGTAAATGTCTTTTTCTACCATTAATATTTATTCCCTAAATAAATCATCTATTTTTATTATAAAATATGTAATTTATTTCACTTTACCATTTTAAAAAAATTCTAATATTACAATTTTTCACTGAAATTTTAATTTATTTAAACCATTATTACTTTATTTTGATTGTAAAACTTCTGTTTAATTTTTTTTCTATTTTAGTGTGGTGGCATTTTAGGCTATTATTCTGGCTTGTTTAGACGGAAAGCCAAAAACTTCTTGTCTAACTTTAAAAATGTCGTTCTTAGGTTAGGACAAGTCTTTTTCTTTTTAATAATTATTATATACATTGGTTTTGTAATAAAAACGTTTGTAGATACAGGTAAATATTAGCACCATTATAATATTTTAATTATTTTTGATTATATAATTTTAAATCTGGTATAGGTTTCTACATTGACTGGTGCACCGGCTATGGAATGGCATTTATGTTGATTGGTTTGTTAATTATATCCATTGTATACAATACGTTGAATAAATATAAATATTTCAACATGTTTCATTTTAACTGTGATAATGGATTTGGATTATTATTTAAAAAGTTAGTATTGGATGATCATGTTTTATGCAAAATTAAATTTGATTTTATTTAACAGATACGGCCGATGTACAACCGCAGCAGTATTTCTACTCTTATTCTTTGGATTTGTAATATATGACACAGTTGTCACCGACGAATTAAACAGAATTATGTCATTATTGGGAATAGTCGCGTTTTTGTTATGCGGTCTTGTTTTCTCCAAACACCCAGAATATGTATGTCGATGTGATATCCGTGTGTATTTGTTTTAAAAAGTTCATTTCAGATCAGATGGGACACCATTTTGGTAGGACTCTCCCTACAAATGTTTCTGGGGTTGATATCAATACCGATAAAATTTGGAAGGGAAATCTTTTCCTGCATTGGAGATAGAGTCGTTCATTTTCTCAGTTACGCTTACACTGGGGCAGCGTTTGTTTTCGGAGACTTCCTCGTAAATAAGCAACATGTTTTTGCATTCCAGGTAAATAAAACTTAAGATATAAAAACTCTTCAAAATTTTTATATATTAAAGTTAAAATAGGGTGCAGAAATAATAAAATTAGAGGTACATATGAAATTTTGTGAAACGATCAATTTATACAGTTTAAATAATAAAAGAAAAACTTGAATAAGCCAGTCGTAAATTCACATTAAAATACAATAAAAGTAAGTACCTATGATGAGTACAAAAAATTTACATTGATGGCAAGAGAAATTAACATGTTTGAGGTATTAAATATTCTGCCATCGACCCTCTCACACTACACAATCACGCTAATAAATTCATTCACTTTCAACACACACTAGGACATAAAACTATCAACACTATATCCAATAAAACAACCTTTTTTTCTCCAAGAATCGGAACAGGAAACTCAGATACTTGCTACCTTGCTCAAGCACAGTTCTACTGTAAGGTGACTATTTTTTAATCAAATGTAATTTTAAAAAATTGATTACTAAATATTATTTATAAGTTGATTTTTTTTTAACATTGAAAATTTAGTGTTATTTTTATAGGTCTTTGGAAAATAGACATTACACTTTAACAGTTCATCATTATTGATGCTTCAATAACAATGATAAATTTTAGAATATTCACTTTAAAAAAAATATTTCTGACAAAAGTACATACAGCTATGATTGAAGGCGTCAAAAAATACCTAAAAAACAGAGAAAATAAAAAATTTGTGGATGAATTAGTTGCTTGGCATAAGTTGAACGTGTTTGACCAAAATTGGGCTGACAAAATTATATACAATTTGTGTTGATAGTTGAAAAGGTGACACATGTACAAACAAGTATGAAACAAGTAACATAAATATTTTATGCTACAAGAATTTTTATTTTTAATAAAAGTTGAACTGTACAGATTTGTAATAAAACATCTTTCGTCAAAGAACTTTTACCGTATAAAGCCAATTTCATGTGAAGTGCTTTTGTAATATTACTTTTGATTTATTGAAAATTTGATTTATTAGATTCTCAGAAAATAACGTTTTATAAATTGTTTTAGGCGCTGTCAGTGCTCTATTTTCTATCGATGATTGTGCAGGTACTGTACTATCTTGGCTGGATGCAAATCATCTGTTTGAAAATTGGCAAATCCATCCAGTTTGTGCTTGGAACCACAGTCATAGAAAGTGTCAATGCAGTTGCTACTGTTTTTCTAGGAATGGTATTTGTTCATTATTATTACTTTTTTGTTTGTTTTATACATAATTTTTGTGATTTCAGAGTGAGGCACCACTTTTGTACAATGTTTACATAAAATATTTGACCAATTCTGAGATTCATGCGGTGATGACTGGCTGTTTTGCGACGGTTGCTGGTCATTTGGTTAATTTTAATTATAACGAACAACAGTGGATATACATATTTTATTTACAGGGACAATGCTTGCTGCTTATACATCACTGGGCATAGACCCAAAAAATGTTATCACTGCGTCAATAATGGCAGCACCGGGTGCGCTGACTTACGCTAAACTCTATTATCCTGAAACTGTAAAATCATCAACGTCAAAAAATATACTTCTTGTCCAAAGGTAATACGATTTATTGATTGATTGATATAAGCTCAACTCTGTACACAAATCTATGAACATTTGTGCAGAATTGTATTATTATTTCTTATTATTTCTTGAAGCAAGCAGTGAGAATCACCCACAGGTTTTGGCAGTCATATCTATCCCACTGACAAAGTTAGGTACGGGTTGTTACCAGTTAGATCAATTCAGCCCCAGTGCAATTTTTAAACCAAGACACACTCTCATGCTACTACTTCTCACAACTCTTTATTCATGCTAATAAATACATTCAATTTCAATATACACATAAAAAATATTTCAAGCAAGGTTTAGAAAAACAACCAATGATCATATATTTACATTAACTAGCATTGGTAAATTGAAATTGAGGCAAAAGCGAAAGAGAGTGTATGCTTTCTTTGTAGATCTTTCAGCGGCTTTCGATCGTATTGATAGGCAGGCTCTATTCTACAAACTACCAATAAGGAATTTCAGACAAAATGTTAAGAGCACTTAGAAAATTGTACGAAGGTTCAGAGGCTGCAGTCTGGAATAAAAATGGCCTGACAGAGAGTTGTAACACAAACATGGGAGTGAAGCAAAGCTCTGTCCTGAGTCCATTGTTGTTTGTGCTATTTTTGAATGATGCTTATGATTTAATATAATGGGTGTTAATATAATGGGAAAATGTATCAGGTTACTAGCCTTTGCTGATGACATTGTTGTATTGGCTTCGGATAAATTAACTTTGCAAAAAATGATCAACCAATTTGAAATTGTTTAAAATGGAATTTAATTATAAACATGGATAAATCCAAAATAGTAGTTTTCAGAAATGGTGGAAGAACTGCTAAAAATGAGAAATGGTGGTTTGGAAACAAAAAAATAGAGGTGGTAGGAAATTACAAATATTTAGGTATAACATTGTCTTCAAGGGGGTCCTTCCAGAAACATTTTGAGGAAAAAAGGACAAAGTGTAAATTTATCATTGGCTCCCTCCATGGCATAATGTCAAATAATAAAATATCTTTTAAATCCAAAATGGTTATATTTGAAAGTATTTGTAAAACGTTTGTTATGGAGCCCAGACATGGGGGTGTGAGCAGCTGCAATGTGTAGAGCAAGTGCAGAGGGATTTTTTGAAAAAAAAAATGCTTAATTTACCATCGCATACACATAGTCATTTTTTGTATTTAGAGCTAGAGTTGTTCCCGTTTTTTTGTATTTATATGTATCTTAAAACTACATTTAAATTATTTGCGTAAATGTCTCAGTCTACCATCGTAACGGTACCCCAATTACTTTGTAAATCAAATTAAGCTTAAAAATGTGTATTGGTTTGAAGTATATAAAAAGTTGGAAACGGAATATGGAATAACTGTAACAGAGTTGATAAGCACAGATTGTAAAGTAGAAAATATCTTTGAGAAGGCGAGGCTAACCTAAAAAAACAAGTATATACAGAAACAATTAATTAAGGTTTTTAGTTGAGATAAAAAAGTCAATGGCACGAGTGGGATTCGAACCCACGATCTTCGGCTAGATACACCGCAGGTCTACCACTTGAGCTATCGTGACCTCGATCCACTCGGACACCAACTCGTGCCATTGACTTTTTTATCTCAACTAAAAACCTTAATTAATTGTAATGTATTAATTGGTCAAGTGGACCACGAAATTAGTGAATTAATGATTAAAAATGAAGTATACTTCACTAAAGCTCTCCTTGCCCATTTCATTTGTCGTCTAGAATCCAATCCGATTACACGACATTTGAAAAGTGGCAAAAAGGAGGAAAAACTCAAAAGGTGGGGTTGAGATGGGAAGTTGGTGTCCGAGTGGATCAAGGTCACGATAGCTCAAGTGGTATCGTGGGTTCGAATCCCGCTCATGCCATTGACTTTTTTATCTGAACTAAAAACCTTAATTAATTGTAATATATTAATTGGACAAGCGGACCACGAAATTAGTGAATATATACAGATAGTTCACTTATGTAGTTTATATAGGCAACTGAATTCTGTCAATAAATATGTAAATTGTGACTTAAGAACTGATCAAATTAGTTGGATTTTTAAAGCTAGATGTGAGTTAATCCATCTAAATAAATACTCATTCGAAGTGTCTAACTTATGTTCGCTCTGCAATAGAAAAGAAGAGTTAACTATTTTGCACTTTGTGGGTATGTCCAATCTTGGCAGAAATCAGAAAATCGGTTTTCCTTTGGGAAGTGTAATCTTTCGTTTTTTTTTTTTTTTTCCCCCCCGGCCGGCTAACTACTAGGATCATTGCCAGCACCTCACGTATATAAGCTTCTCGCATTTTTCTTTGTTTCATTTCAACTTTATCTCTATCTCATTCACTATATCTCTTCTTTTAATTTTGTTTCCTACCGACCAAACAGAGGAGTGTCTTGTTGCTCTTTCCTACCATCCCATACGTGGTTTATTAAAAATACTTCAATATTTACAGACTCACTAACAATACCCACTCACGCTAAGAAAATTATTACCTAATCTACAGTTGGCAGGGCTCAGAGTACAGGTGCACGACTGAGGTCCTGCCCCTACAACTAAATAAAAAGTCGGTCATAATCCTACCGACTTCCTTCCATTCGTGCTAATAAATACATTCATACAGTATGTACAGAATTTCATTCATCCATTAGACTAATTTCCTTTTGACGGGCTTGTGGAGTACTCGATATTCCTCGACATCCACAAAACATTCACGCTAATAAATACATTCATATTGGAGAGATTGCAGCATCTCGGTAGTATTACTAGAACCTTGATAACGGGGACCTGTCCCTCACATCAAATAACAAATATATAATTATCTAAACTAATTTGGCGGGCCTGTGAGCTTCTCGATATTCAGTCACAGCCACACCCAGACAACCTCATCACCCATGCTAGCAAATACATTCACACTGCAGAATGGAGATATACCACGTGTGGTTGGTTATATGTATACATACGCATTTATCAATGTTAAGTACCTAATAAGATTATATTTGAAATCACTGTTATGCTTAAGAACTATTTCCAGATTAGATGGTAGGTCACACCATTCTCGGTACTCTCCTAACTTATTACATTCCTCTAATAGATGTCTCACTGTTACTGGGTTTTCACAGAGTGGGCAGCATTTTTGACTTCTACCCATTTTTTCCGGTGACCGTACGTGAGACATGTGTGACCTATTTGCAATCTTGTTAATATTATTTTGTTACGTTTTTCCAAATTCTCCACGGGCCATGGCCTCACCGTACTTTTATGTATTTTAATTTTTCATTACTTTCATTCCAGCGAGCCTGCCATTTACAATACATCGAATTTTTCATTTTTGTTTTTAGATCCATCAGGCTAATGGGGGACTCGGGGTCATGTTATATGTCATGTTGTTATATTATTATACACATAAAAAATATGCACTTAATAAGTAGAAGCTTCCCTGCCAACTCACTGATTGTATTTACTTTATTTAATTAGAGAGGGATCACTTGGTCAGGTCTGGAGGTTGAGATTTCCTTAGCCAACTTGTTATCCTCCAGATTCGTGTCTGGCGACTCAGACAACCTTTATTTTTCCGAGATACTTGAATATGCTTAATTATTTGTAATTTTTATATTCCAAGTTTTCTCTTTCAGTGATGATGTGAGCGTTATGGACGCAGCGTGCAAGGGGACTTTTATGGCAACAACTATCGTTAGTTCTATAATTGCTTCTGTTATCGCATCAGTATCATTTATAAATTTACTTGATGGGATTATTCTTTGGTTGGGATATCTCGTAGGAATTGAAAACCTTACGCTTGATGTAATACCATGTCATATGAATGAATTGAATATTTTCTAACATGAATCTGTAGTATATTCTAGGTATAATATTCATACCATTGGCTTGGGCTATGGGTGTCAAGCACGAAGAATGCGAACTAGTCGCTTCTCTCATTGGCATTAAAACAATAGCGAATGAATTTATTGCCTATGTTAAACTTAGCGAGTTGAAATCTGCTGGGAAATTATCGGTAAGTAAACTGTTGCGTTAGGATTGCTCGAGTGTTGAATCGTAATCATTTGGCTTTAAAGGCGAGGTCCGAAGCAATCGCAACGTTCGCATTATGTGGATTTGCAAACCCAGGAGCACTCGCAACCATGATAGCATTTTTGTCTAGTCTTGCGCCGAGCAAACGAGAATCAATTATCAATGTTTCATTCCGCGCTTTTGTCACAGGGTGTATTACCAGTTTTTCATCTGCGTGCATAGCAGGTGAGCTTTATCAAATATCATCTTTTTAATTAAAATTCTCAAAACTTTGATGCTAAGTAATTTGTAAACATTTCAGGTTTGTTGACACCAGAAAATGGCTTCTAAAAAGTTAAATTTTTCCAGAACAATCAATATCATCTATAAAAATACACAAAATATTTTTTTAAAAGTAAGACTACATTATCACTGTAAATTACTGAAAATTTAATTTTTAATAAATACTTTAATCTAATAAAAAATTAGTTTTGATTTTGTTACATTGAAACTATCGAGAGCAAAATGTAATTGGACTCTATTGGATGGTGACCAGGATGACTGCATTTTAAACTAAATTTATTTCAATAAAGAAATTTATTATTATAAGTTGTATTGATTATTGTTGTGTAGAACGTAGCCAGGCCTAAGTCCCCTACACGTCCATTCTCGCTGTGACTTGTGTTTGCTCTTCACAGTCCACAGATCTTTTGTCTTTCCTCTTATGATCACTTGTAAATCTTACAAAATCCTCTGGGAATAATTATTGAACAAGAAAAAACCATTCATGAGTAGGATTGTGGAGATGAAATCCTGACTTTTTCTAACATTTCAAAAATAAGACAAAAACTGGTTTTAAAAAATTTAGAAAAACCCTCAAAAATAAAAATGCTAAAAATATGGTAACCTGAAAACCTTTTTTTTTTTGCTGCCTCAGGTGATGCATAAGTCACTGCACAGAACTTAAAACCAGTTTTTTATTTTTTATTATTTATCACTTTTTTTTAATGATTTTTTATAATGCAGCAACTTTGACAATTAGTTATTTAGTCATTATTTGAGTTAATAATGTTGAAATTTCATTTTAAAAAGTTGTTTTAATTTTAAAATTTATAATAAATATATTTGTAATATTTTCACACAATAAATTCAAACTATTTACATCAAAAATATTATTTAATTAAAATGATTTACTACAAATTAATCTATGTAGAAAGGTGTTCTTTGAAGAACTGGGGATACAGTACAATTTTTGCCGCGAAAGCCGAGTGGTTAAGGCGTCAGACTCTCGGCTATTAGATCCCATGGTCATGGGTTTGATCCCCATCATCGCCTCTGGACTTTTTCTGACGCCTAAGAGGACCGGTGGCCGCAATTGAAAGAAATTGACACGGCACTCATCAATGGAAGGAGCGGGATCAGATCTCAGCGACCCTGAATTTGATCCCAACTACCTTCAAAAATGCGTTTCTTCGATGGATGGCACACCGGGGGCTACACTTGTGTTGCGAGCCCTCAAAAAATGGAGCCAGGGATAAAGTACAATAAGCTGTACAGCTGTAGTGCTCAGGAGGGAACTCCTCTAGTTCCTGGTAGCCATTGTAAAAAAATTTTTTTTTTCTCTAACTACAACTTAAGCAGTAGAAGAACGCCCTCACTTGCTTACCTCGTCTTTCAGCTCTTCAGCGCAATTTACGCAAGATTTGTCCTTTTTGTCTCCAAGACGTTGAAGGCGAAGGAGCAGGAAAATGGTCAATAAGAGGATGAAGGAAACCAGAGGCTCTATCATGTCCGATCAGAAGTTATTTAGCTTCTTCTTGTCAACTGCATTAATTAACGAACAAAATGCTATTCGTGAAAGCTTCGGGAGGTGAAAGGCCAACTTTTTTTATCTAAAAAATTAGCAAAAATTAATTTTAAAAAGTTTAAAAAAAACCTGAAAAATAAAAATTTTATATTTACCATTGATTACGGAACCATTCTCACACGTAAATGGTGCTATGCCAGAACCCGCTAGTTTGGAACCTTTTCACCCTAAATTGAAAATTAATGACTTTGAAGGATTAAATAGTGAATACTCAACCATCTTAAATTAAAAACACCGCAGGAATGCACCGAGATCACTTTCAAGAGCCTGAAGAACTTTCTTTGGATCACATTGCATAAAATTGTAAGTACCCTGTTTTTTCTTTTTTCCGGGGTTATTCGGCAGGCTTTAGTACCAAATTATCTTATCGCTTTTTAAATTTTTGTTTTAAGTTTTTATCCACATCCCCGGTCAAAGCACTTGTTGGGCTTGGAACTGTGGCAGCCTAGGCATCCTGCTTTCATTGGCTGGATCCATTTAAAAAAAAAAAAAAAAAAAAAAAAAAAGAGATTTTTATTGAATTAGTTAAATATTATAAAATAAAACGACGACAATGTTTTACAATATATATATATTTTACATTACATACATCTCATGTAAATTTTACATAAAATTTATGCTTTACAGATAAAAACATAGTTTAAAATTAAAATTTGTTGAGGTCAAGTTCTTCAACGAGATCTTCTTCATCTTCAAAATCCATATCGTCTTCCTCTTTGACGAGTGATTCATTTGATTCTTTTTTAGAGACCTTCTTCTTCTCCTTCTTCTTCTGTTTCTTGACTTTGTCATCAGGATTGCTGGAAAATGAATAATTAAATAAAAATTAACAAATATTATGTAAAATAAATATTAAAAAATATTATATAACAAATATAAAACTAAATTGATCTCTTACTCAATGTCAGGAAATTCGAAATCAGACTCGTCCGAAGGAAACAATTCAGCAGGGCCTTCATCTTCGGATTTGGTTTTGGTTCGTCTTTTAATTTTCAGCATTTCTGGCATGCCATCCTTCGCAATCTGCGTAACAAGCAAAAAAACAGTTATGAAAAAATATAACAGAGAAGTGGAAAGAGAATGAGTGAGAGTGAGTGGGCTCGGGAGAGAGAGGGGGGAGAGAGGAGGGAGAGGGTGAGAGAGATGGAGAGGAGGGTGAGAGTAAAATTTCCGTTGATGATATAAACCTGTTTTAATTCACTCTTGTATAAATTATTGTGGGTGGAATAGAAATGATGGACTACCTTTTAGAAAGGTAAATTATTGTGCTACTTAGTGGCTTAAATCTGCATTATATGCTTATTAATTTCTACAATAATAATTTTAGAACAATTATAACTATCCTGAAATCATTAATTTAACCAACAATTTGGAAAAAATTTACTATTCATCTTAATTTAAGTATGTTCATGTTTTATAAGTAAATAGATATAACAAAAAATAATTATAAAAAAATACCTTTTCGTTTTTAGTCGCCTGTTTGGCCCTTGTGATGGCGCTTGATTTTCGCACTTCTTCCCAGTATTTTTGCAACGGCGTTCCATTCGCTTTCATCTCAGTTTCAAAAGCTTTGATTTTTTCAGTTTCATGTAAGTTAAGCGTCAATTTACTCCTTTTGGAATCAATGAGTTTACTATTTTCCTCTATTTTGACCAAAGCTTGTTTCAACTTTGAAGAATATTTCGGTATTGTACAATCCTTCAAGAATGTTTTTAACTGAAACGTAATGTATTACTCTAATATTGGAAGAAATAATCCATGTAAAATTTATAAAGAAAGGTCAAATTTTGATAGAAAACTTGAAATTATTGACGTGTAATAATAAGTTTGAAATTTTTTTAAACATTTTAACCCAACTATGACAGCTTCAAAGTTAATTAAATTATGGATCAGGCCCCCTGATGCTAAACACGCAGTAAAAAATATGATGAAAGAAAGATGGCAACGTCAGTGGGCAGGGTTGTCGGAGAGGCTCTTGCGAGTCAAGAGCATGGCCGGTAGATGGCCTTCAGAGAATCTGAGCAGGAGACGAGGGATCGTCCTCACCCGACTGAGGATTGGCCATACTCGGTTGACACACGGGCACCCTTATGCAGAGAAAGGTTGATCGATGTGTCCCACAAAATAGAGGCGTGTCGTGCCTTGACTCCATACAGAGAGCGTATAGGCATGCCGCTGGACTTAAGAAAATTTCTCGAGCACGGTAGCGAGTTTCAGAGTCCCCTATTCCGCTTTTTAGGGGAAATTGGGTTTTTTTTATTGCATATAATATGTCTTATGTGTTGTGTCTATATGTTTTGTCTGAGTGAATGTATTTATTAGCATGACTGGTGAGGGGTGAGGGTGAAATATAACGTCATCATCGCCCCTCAAACATTGAGTGTAAGGGTGTGTGTTCGGGGTCGATGGCGGAATATTTATAAAAGTACTCCATCGACCCCAATCTAGATTAGTTTGAGTATAGTTCGTTGGAGGAATATCAAGTACTCCACCGACCAAACGGAATGAGTGTACTGTATGGATGTATTTATGTGTATGAATGTAGTGTTTGAAAGGGTAAATAGAATATAGACTTAGTTGAGGGAAGACCCAGACAAAAAAAAAAAAATTAAATTATGGAGTTTTATGTTTGTGTAAGTCAATATATAATTTAAAAAAAAAATAATTAACACGTTCGCTAAAGTTCTAGAAAAACAAATTGGTTTCACAGGCCTTTAGCTGCCTCAATGTTACTGTGAAGACCATTTTTCAATTTTACCTTTTGGAAATGTTTTACGATTATGAAAAAAAAATTCTTGAAGAGTATTACAAAAATTTGGCAGACAAAAAGGAAATTGATCCCTTTCATATTGAAAGGTCAGCACAAGGATATCCAAGGATCCAAAAACTCAAAAGAGAGAAAGAAGAGCTGATAGGGATCGATGCCAATGGGAAAAAAGGTTGCAGGGTCTGTGGTCTTTGTATTATTTGTTAATTATTGGAACCAATTTATTAGCGACTTATCCCCCTTTTTTTTTTTTTTGTAACGGCCTGAAGCCATAGCCATGTCTCTCTTTCCTCCAGAGGCCCCCCTGCACCGCATGGATTCTCTCCCTTTTTAATTTATCATATCCAGATCACCTTTATATATGGGAGGTTACCCCTCTATCCCTAATTACTCCAAGGATTATCAAAAACTCTGGGTAGCCTGAATGCTAATTAGACTATAATGTTTTATCTTGTCTCTGTGTTTATGAGCATTTGTGCTATTTTATCCAAAACTGATAAGGCCATGAGGTACAGAGATGCCAGCAATAAAATAAAGAAAAGAAATTAGTAGCTTTGAAAGCGAGAAAACTAATGTAGAAATTATACATAAAATGTTTTTACTTGTATGATAACGGGAATGAAAAGATCCGGGGAACCGATCATGTGAGAGTAAGAAGCACACGCTTCGATGAGCAGTTGGAAAACGTATTCAACTACAGCATCGGTGAACGCCGTTTCTGTCATGGCGCTCTTCGAAAGCCTTAGAACAAATGTGAAGTCAAATGGCTTCATCGACGCCTTCTTCATTTGTTTATTTAAATTCGCCTTTGATAAACTCTGAAAAATGTTTTTTTTTTTTAAAGGATATTTTAGTTAATAATATAACATTTTGAAAGCAAGAGGTTATTTAATATTACCTCTAGGATTAATGGCATCACGGGGATGTAAATGCTGGTTTCTCTACCGAGTTTTATAAGCATTTGAATACAGTGGAAACGTAAAGGTATGTACTGAGCTGTTGGTATTAATTTCACACAACCCAATATAATCTAAAATTAAATAAAAATATAAGTAAAATATATTAAAAAAATAAAAAAATAAAAATACCTGGACCAGTGGAAAAACAAGCTGTTTTAACTCAGGTGAATCTTGACTGACACACATTAAATCAATCCACAACCTAAGCGAATGAATATATTGCCAGTTATAAACAGTTTGAAAGCTTTCCTACAACATATTAATCATAAATAAATCATTATCGAAGTTAACACGATTTTATGAAAAGAAATAAGTTTAATAATTAAAACTACCTTTTTGTGGATGGTAATGGCATTTCTTAAGTGAATCGCAAGCTGTCTTATATAAAGAAACGCATGCTCGTACGATAATTGCGGGTCAAGGGAATACATATCCACCAGAGTTTGCTTCATAAAGTTGATCTGAGGCAACGTAGTGGCCGAGACAAATTTACAACCATGGATGTACGCAATGTACATATGCTGTAAAAAATAAATAAATAAATAAAATGTAAAAGTAATAAATATTTCAGGGATTTGTTTAAAATTAATTACTTTGAGGGCGGTATTGAGCAGCGACGACTTCTGCAACGTAGTCAATCTGAGTATACAAAGGTAAGCCAAGACTCGTACAGTTTCTTCGCCCGTACTCCACAACCTCGTCAAATTTTTCACGGCCAATTTGCTCAATTTAGGAAAGCACGCGACGAACGAACAAAATGAGTGTAAATGCTTAAGCATTACGGTCATAATATGCTCAGATGCCACTCCTTCCAATAACTAAAAATATCGACACTTTTATTTTAAAGAAACGATTAAAAAAAAACCTTTATGATTAATAATATTACCTTGAATAAATCCTTGAAATATAATTGAAGGCTTGATTTAACTTTAACCCACCTCTTTGACTTTTCAGGATTTTTTATAGACGTTGGAGTTAATTTTAAAAAGTTAACAATTGCAGGTTGCAAATTCATGACACACATTTCAATAACAGTGTTAAAAACTGAAATATAATGTTTTATTACATATTTTCTTTGGGAAATGTCTATATATTACAAAAAAAAAAAAAAAAAATTACCAGCACTCCCTTCAACTTTATATACAGAAGTATCTTCCCCTATCACTCTATCCAATGCTGCATGAAAAAGCTCCATAACTTTATTTATCGACTGTGAAGATCTACGACATTAAAGGAAAAAATATATTTATGAACGTTCAATCTTGCAATAATTAATTATCTTACGGATTTGAGACCAAGTCTTCCCGCCATTGTTTGAGCATTGAAAGTGTGACTACATTTTTGTCTTTTTTCTCGCCACCTTCCACTTCATAATCACTCTCTTCACTGTCCCCCTTAAATAAAAAATCTCACTTGTTAATATCTTCTTTAGTGTAGTACTTCTTTATGGAAATCAATATTAACAAAACGCCTTGTTAAATGAAATAAAGAAAATAAATTAAATCTTTGTACCTCTAACTCATCTGGTGGAACATGAAGTTTGTCTTCATCATCCCCTTCGTCGCTATCAGACTCTTGAAACTGCAAAAGTTTTTTATCGTTTTCCTGAAGAAACTGATAAAACTCTGGATCGGTGTTTTGCAAATTGGATAGAGCTTTTTTATGCTGAGTACTTTCAAGCCCTAAAAAAAGGTTAAACAAAATAAAATAACCACATTTTATAAATCATGGGAATTGTTTTTCTATAGCTTTCCCAGCCCTGGTGAAGTTGCGCCTTGGCCTCACTCAAGTCAAAATTTACTCTAACAGGGGGGAGGGGCAAAAATTTGTTCCATTGAAAAGTTTATCTAATTACAAAAAGTAGCTAATATATCAATTTTTTTATATTCTGATTAATAAAATCATCTGTCGTCTGGATCCCGAATTACTCTCAAATTGCGGCAGGTTTCTTGAATAAGCTTAACACCCTTGATTGATTCGATCCTGAAAAACAGGCATAGTGAGGTACACAAGTCATTTCGAATTTGCTTCAGCGAGTACCGGTTTGAACTGGAGATGGTATTCGAGCTGGAAAACCAGCTTCCCAGTCGTACTCTTCTAACCTGTAATCTTGCGGTACTTGACAGGTCATGAACATTTATCATCGAGAGCATTCCTAGAATTTAGATCAGGGTTCATCGGTGTTCACTTAGTCTGTGCTGACAGGTCGAGAACTGGCAAGGGTGTGACCTGCTCTGCATAGCAGAGGCTCTTCCACTTCATGATCACTTTACGTGTACACGGCAGAGTTGTATGCAATCAGGCCTATGTTTGGGGTAATTTAGAAATATGCTCAGATGTAGCACCTCAGAAAAACGGTGGTATGCATTTGGGTACCCAGACACAGATGGGCAAGAAGTAAAGGACACTGGCAGGGTCAATGGCACAGACCATCTGAGCGCCGTGTCAAGTGATGGCCCACCAATGGTCTAAAATGCAAGAAAGAATGCTCTCGTTTGAGGATAGGCCATATATACATATTATGCAGGATGAGTGACCATGACCCGAGGGGTTAAATGCCTGGGTAGACTCATACCCCATCCATAAAAAGTCCGGGACTTGGTCGGCTCACGTGTCCTGCATAAACCTCTTGGACCTGTTCACAAACCCCAAGATTTTGGACCATTTAATCTCGGGGATGGTGATGTCCTCTCCTTCAAAGATTTCAAAACTAGACCTAGCATACCTATCACACTCTGCGAGGTAGTGCCTTGCCGTTTCTTCTTTTATTTTGCAAAAACGGCAAAAGGGATCTGGTAGGATACCCATTATGGAGAGGTGTCTTCTCAGTGGATAGGCCATACCTGATTGTCACAAGAGGGAGTCAACCTGTTTCCAAATACGATAATTAATCTGGTGTACTTCTGGGAAGAGAAAACAGCCTTTTTATAAAATATTTTCTGTAATTTCTCTACTCAGTGTTCCCTGTAGCCCCCATACTTGTGTCCTGTAGCACAAAACAGCTCAGCTCACAGAATCAAACAAATTATATTTTTTTAAAGGATATAATTTTTTATGAGAGTGTTCCAGGTTGAACCCATGGTTTACATGCAGTCAGTTTTTCATTGAAATGAAATTTATACAAGATATGAGGGGTCAATGTCAGTCCCAGACATTTGTACCTTGACACTACCTCTATTTCTTTTTTACCGTAAAACCACTTTTCATTGCATGCTGGTCGCCCCTCTTTTTATTAAAAAACATTATTTTTTACTTTTTTTTGTTAACAGTTAGGTTCCAAGGCTAACAATAATCATGTAGTTTATGTTTTTTAGTGACTGCGGCTCGCTTGCTCAGACGATGATATCTTCAGCATACATCACGTGTCTCACATTGATGTTTCCTACTCAAATTCCTCTGTTTATGAACTCGTGTAAATCATTTAAATATTGCCGATAAAATTTTTATCTATTAGTACACCGTCCGAGGTTGATTTAAACCGTTTAATTATATGCACAGGGTATCGTTACAGGCCAGGCATGACTGTAGTCAACATGTTAAAGAAATCTGAGACAAGATTCAACTATTGCAACAAAGCTGAGAATACTTATAACATCTGCAAAAACCCTTTTTTCATTCTACTTTTTATTATTATTGCTTACTTTATAGTTGTTATCATTAAATTTTTCTTAATTAATTTATTTGTATGTACTTTTGCTTTGTTGCCTTGCTATCAAATATTTATTGTTTATTTTTCTTATTTTATCTGTAATTATATTCTTGATCTGTTGACCTGATGTCATATCATTTTAAATATTATTATTATTATATATGTTAATTATTATTATTATTTTTTTTTTTACAGGGGCATCTGACAGCTTGGTCATTTCAGCCCCGAAGCACTAACAAAATACTGCTCTCGATACACTATCACACTAATAAATACATTCACACCAACATACATTGATCACACTCATTCTGTTTGGTTGATGGAGTATTCGATATTCCTCCATCTACCTATTCCCTATAATAAACTAATCTAGATTGGGGTCAATGGGGTATTTTTATAAAATTTCCGCCATCAGTCCAAGCCATACCCACAGCCTGAGAGGCGATGAAGAAGCAACTTCGCCATCAGCCCCCCCCCATTCACACCAATATATACATTCACTCAAACAAAGCACAGAAACACAAAACATAACTTTATACAATAAAAATTCCCTTAAAAAGCTGAATAGGGAACCCTGAAACTCGCTTGCCATGTCTGAGAACCCTCTTTTAATCTGGCGGCATGCCTACTCGTGCCCTGTAGGGAGCCAAGGCATGACACGCTTCGACTATTGGGACACATCGAACAACCTTTCTCAGCATAACGGACACCTGTGGGGGGATTGGCTCACCAGCAAGTGCTCATGTGTCAACCGAGTATGGCCTATTCTTAATTTGGTCATCCACTTAACACGAAGGAGCCTCTCGGATGACCCTGCCCACTGACGCTGCCATTTATCATGTATAATTTTTTTTATAGCTCGTTTAACGTCAGAGGGCCTGATCGCGATATATATGTAATTATTAGTGTAAATGTAACGTTTTCTTAATTAATTTATTTGTATGTACTTTTGTTTTTTGGCTTGCTGTCAAATATTTATTCTTTATTTTTCTTATTTTATATGTAATATTCTTGTTCTGTTCACCTGTTGTCATATCATTTTAAATGTTATTATTACATATGTAATTATTATTGTAAATGTAACTTTTTCTTAATGAATTAATTTGTTTGTACTTTTGTTTTTTGGCTTGCTGTCAAACATTTGTTCTTTATTTTTCTTATTTTAACTGTAATTATATTCTTGTTCTGTTGACCTCTTGTCATATCATTTTAAATATTATTATTGTAAATGTAACTTTTTCTTAATTAGTTTGTAAATTTTCAGTATTTGATATGATCTGTTTATTACTAAATAATTTTATTTATAATTTGTTGAAGTAGTGAAGAGGTCAAGAATGAGGTAGTTTACAAAAAAAACCACCTTTTTCATTTTTTTCCCTATGTTTCAACCTTTATTCAGGCCATCTTCAGGGCATAAAGTGTGGTGCTATTCACACGGTGTCATATCGGTATTGTCTGAGTGTTGTATTTTGTGTGTATTTTATTTATATTTTCTTGCTACATTGGTACGACGCCGACGTTGTCGATGATGGGTATGGGTCTGCGTGTCCAATAATTGACCCTATTGCTGTTCAGCATGAAATTTACATACGTATAGGTCAAAATTGAATTTTTACCATAATGTCCACACAATCGAGCTTTTGGCTTTAAAGGATTGTTGTCAAAAGGTTTTTAGCATTATTACTTGTTATAATGTGATCAACTGTTTTGTGGTAAACTTACAATCATCATCTGTGCTTATGTTTCCATCATCATCATCATGACCATCGCCCTCCTGGCTCAATTCGTCTCCACCATCATCATCATCATCACCATCGCCCTCCTGGCTCAATTCGTCTCCACCATCATCATCATCATCATCACCATCGCCCTCCTGGCTCAATTCGTCTCCACCATCATCACCATCGCCCTCCTGGCTCAATTCGTCTCCACCATCATCTCCATCTAGGCTCGACTCCTCGGCATCATCATCTTGGACTTCTATCTCATCATCGCCGCTAGATTCTTGGCCAAGTTGGTCGCTGGTATCATCATCGGTCCCCTCGTCTTGCTCAGTGTGAACACTCTTGCTGGGTTTTTTGGCAAACCCGTTGGATTTAACTGTCTGTTTCTTGCCTTTCGACTTCATAACCACTATCCGAAAATACAAAAGAACCACGTGGGTCAGACGCCAAACTAACAACTTAGCCTTGAGAAAACCTTCGTTGATTGTTGCATGCTGCCTTGTGGTCTCATTTGTCTGGTGGCGCCACTCCCAGAACGTCAGTCAGTAAGTAAATTCAGACTTACAGAGGATTATGTATATATGATTATGTGTATATGTATGTAGGAGTATGTATAGAACGAAATTTGTAATTTTTATTGTTAATAGAAACCAACTTCTTCTGACAAATGTATGCCAATGGTGAGGCAGGTTATAGTTTTCAACTAGCAATAATCGTAGGTTGCCTGAAAATACATACATTTTTTCAAAAGAAGTTGGTTGTATTTATAATAAAAAGCTTTGAAATACCAAAGGAATAATACATAAGAGTGTAAATCGAAGTGACTGTAAATTATAGATCCATGTCTGCAAGAATGAGGTAGTTTACAAAAAACACCTTTTTCATTTTTTGGTCGCGTTTCGACCTTTATTTGGGACATCTTCAGGTCATAAAGTGTGGTGCTATTCTTGTGGTGTCATATCGGCATTGTCTGAGAGTGTTGTATTTTGTGTGTATTTTACAGCAATAATAGGAAAAGTCTTTGAATCTCTGATTTTAAAAAACTATCGGTCCTTTTTCTAACACACAATACATTAAAAAAACATGGTTTCCACCCTTCAACAACAAATCTTCTTCTTTTTCCAGTAATACTCAGCCCATTCCTTTTGAAAGTAATTATTAATGCTATTTCTCCTTCTTTTTACTCACTGCCAATACCTTTTATCCATGATGCTGAACTGCAAATTATTTATTTAAAATTTATTCATGTTTCTTGACTCATGGAATGGAGTAATAAACTTCCTTTAGATTGGGACACTTTTTACCATAACTTAAGTCGATTTAAACATTTTGTCAAAAATATTTATCATGGCAATTACGCTTGATTTTGTTATGTACTGTTCCTTCAGGTTATTCCAGATGCATAGATCATATAGTACACATGTAATATCCATGACAGTGAACAATTGGTAAAACGGAAGAATCGCACAATTTCTGCTTCTGCAGTTTTGACAATTTCCGTTCTTTATACATTTTTTATCCATTCCATTTGTTATGTACAGTTTCTTTAGGCTATTCTGAATGCATAGATTATACATTATACAAAAAATATCTATAGGAGGGGAAAATTGGTGAAAGGGGCGAATCGCACGGTTTTGGCTTTAGCAGATTTTCAATTTCAGTTCTTTTCATATTTATTTGCTGTTTCTTTTTTTATGTACTGTTTATTCAGCCTATTCCAAATGTATAGATCATATACTATACATAAAAAATTAAATACAGTGAAAAATGGCTTAAAAGGGGCGAATCGTGCAGTTTGGCTTTTGCAGATTTGCCAGTTTCAGTTCTTTTTACATTTATTATTCATTTCTTTTGTTATCTACTGTTTATTCAGCCTATTCAAAATGGCTACATTCTATAGTACACATAAAATACCAAATTCAGTGGAAAATGTCCATCAAGGAGCGAATCGAATCGTTTTGGCTTTTGCAGATTTGTCAATTTCAGTTCTTTTTATATTTATTTGCTGTTTCGTTTTTTTATGTACTGTTTATTCATTCTATTCCAAATGTATAGATTATATTGTATACACAAAATATCTATAACAGTGGAAAATGAGTATAACGGGTGAATCGCCCAGTTTTGACTTTTGCCGATTTGCCAATTTCAATTCTTTTCATTTCTTTTGTTATGCACTGTTTATTCAGACTATTCTCAAAGCATAGATCGTATAGTGTACATAAAATACATAATACTGTAGAAAATGGCTAAAAGGGGGCGAATTGTATAGTTTGGCTTTTGCCGATATGCCAATTTACTTCCTTTTTCCATTCATTTTTTGTTTCTATTGTTATGTACTGTTTATTCAGCCCATGCCAAAAGTATAGATCATATAATATAGATAAAAAATTTAATAAGTAAAAAATTGTTAAAATCGTGCAGCTATTGGCTATTGCAGATTTGTCAATTTCAGATCGTTTTGCATTTATTGTAAGTTTCTTTTGTTGTGTATTGATTATTCAGCCAATTCCAAATGTATAGATCATATTGTTTACACAAAATATCTAATGCAGTGAAAAATGGCTTAAAAGGGGCGAATCGTATAGTTTGTCAAAAGCCAACTGCAAAAGCAAATTTGCCAATTTCAGTTCTTTTTACATTTGTCCTTTTTTTGCTTTTGTTCTCTTCTTTTTATTTGGCTGATTTCAAAGAAACAGATGAGATAATATACATAATCTATCGATAACAGTTGACAGTTTTGACCTTTTTTTACATGTGAATAAATTGGTTGTCAGTATGGTCTGGTTGAACAAACATATTCAGTTGTATCTGCCTAAGTTTGACCTATTAAGGCAATAATCATGTTACTGCAACAATTGAATTTTTTTTTCCCATCCAGGCTATGATTATTCCTATTTTTGACACACTAATGAGTTGACTGTTGATTGAATTTATGAGCCTTTACAGCTGCCTTGTTATCTGATTATTCTACTTAATTCAATGCATATTTTTTATTGCTAGCAATTTTGCCAGAAAAATGATTCTGAATTTTCACACTTTGCATCATTTAAACGTTTCTATACGCTTTAGAATATTCTGGTCTATTTAATCAAGCTGATTTGACATTTGTTGTTGTTCGGTGTGTTTTGGTCTATATATTTTTTTGTCATCTCTTTACCCATATTGAAGTGGCTAAAACTAAGAGATCAAAGGAAATGGCTTAGTGATGATATTTAATGATGCAGTACATCTTAGAGGTTTTTTTAATAAACTAGAGCTATTTCAAGAGAGATTTTGACCATGAATTGTCAGATTTTCCGTAAGGTTACAGATATGGCAAAAAAAATATTGCACAGAATTTTTTGTTTGTTTTATTACATGACTTTTTCATTGAAAAATAAACCATTTGCAAATATTATCTTAGTTGTTTGGAAATCAATCTTTGATTAGCATCGATGGGTTTATGAATTATAAATAGAATTCAAACGGAAAGTTAAGAAAAATTATATTTATGTATAAAACAACTTAAAAATGTATGTATATTACATATTTACAAAGAAAAATTAACATGCTCATACTAAATCAAATATTTTTTTTATAATTCATTAGAGAGGTTTAACTTGTTATGATATATTTGTGTTATTTAACAAAGAAAAAAGGTACAGAATATGTTACTAGATAACATAAATCACAGGTAAAACATTAAACAAAAACAGAAACAGGCGTTTTCCCTTTTTTTCTTTTCTTTTGATATTCACACATATTTTACATTTATGTATTTACACCGGGAAGAAATTATTTACACCTTTTCCCCTGAAAGGGACGCTATGTTGTAGTATGAGTGGTCTGGGAAACGTTGGAGTTCGATGTAGTCGGTTTCGGACAGAAGAAGCTGGTCGAGGAGGTCGACGAGTTCTTTGAAGTCAGGCCTTGCTTCTGGATCTTTGTCCCAGCAGTAGTACATTATGTTGTAAAGTTCACGTCGGCAGTGTTCGGGCTTTTCAAGCCTATAACCCTCTTTGACACGTTTCATGACACCCAGTGCAGAAAGACCAGGATACGGTGTCGATCCGAGAGTTACTATTTCCCAAATGAGAACACCAAATGACCAAGCGTCAGATTTAACAGAGAAGACATTGTCATATAGTGATTCAGGAGCCATCCATCTATACAGAACAAAAAAATAAAAAATATAATCAGCATATATTTAATATAACAAATAAAATAAAAAAAAACATTACCTTATAGGGAGCCGTCCCTCTGATTTTCTTTCGTACACATGACTCGCTACTACATCCCGAGCGAAGCCAAAATCTGCAACTTTACATGTATGATCGGCACTGACTAGGATATTTCTTGCTGCCAAATCTCTATGAATTATCTAAAAACAAAATTAAAATTAAAATGCATAAATCAAAAATAAATTCTAACAATAAGTAGTATAGTTTACCCCTCGGCTAGTTAGATATTCCATGCCACGAGCTATTTGATAACAAAAAGATGTTAGGTGGCGAGATGTCAGTGAGTTGCTCTTGCCGTGTATGTTATCATAGCTGCGAGTTGCCCTGGAGTTTCTGAGGTATGTCTGGAGTTTACCATTAGCCACATATTCCATAATGACAAATATCGGATCTGCGAAATTTTTAATTTGTTCATACCTATTTTTTTAAAAGCTAATATGATGATGGTACCTTTATCAGTACAACATCCGAGTAGCCGGACGACATTCGGATGTGGTTCAAGCATTTTCATCACCATCAGTTCGGAAAGAAGATCGCTTCTTTCTCTCTCGCCCGCATTCTCTTTTAACGTTTTGACTGCGACAATTTTCGGGCCTTCATCCACACCTGAAATGGATGGACAGTTAAACCACAATGTTGTATTTTGGAACAAAATCATTACCATTGATGTCTCTTGCTTCGCACTTCCAGACCTGACCGAAACATCCTTCACCGAGAATGCTGAATACTTTCAAATGGTGTCGAGGATACTCCCATCTATCAGGAACCTTTATAGGAGGTGTTGAAGGAGCATCCTGTTTATAATTAAAGAATAATTAACAAAACTAAATTTCTTCTGCTCAATGTGGAATTGAACTAATCTGCATCCTGCATTAACTCATGTAGGTGTTCAAAATAATTCTAATTTTAATATCAAATAGGGTTTGAATTTTGAATATTAAAATGAACAAACCTGTTGTGGAATGGGAGAAGATAAGTCTGTATCCCATGCAGTATACCTGTTGCTGAAAGCTCTAGGCCCACGCCACTGCTGCATCACAATCGGGTCTTCCCCAGTAGTAGTATTTGTTGAAGACTTCTTTTTCTAGAAAAAAACAAACATAAAAGAAAATAATTTAAAATTTTGAAAAGTAGAAGTATAATTACCATGTCTTCTTTAGTCTTTTTCTTCTTTGAGGAGCACATGCGTTTCCTAAAGAGGAAAGCAGCGATTACCAGCAAGGCAGATGCGATGGACACCATGGCGACAGGCACAACGGTAATGGCTATGTCGGTCATATTTGGACGAGAAGGAACCACAGGGGGTAAAGTTGTTGACGAAGACGGAGTAGGTTGAGTTACGGGCTTGACCGATTTAGATGTCTCAGTTGTATATGGTTCAAAGGAGGAAGGAGGGTCTGTAATTTTTATGGCATCAATTGGTGGCGGATGTGGAGTCTGGGGTACATGAGGCCGAAGTACAGTCCGTGGAGGCGGCAGTCTTGGAGGCAACCCTCCAGGTCTCAACTGCAGTGGCACTTGTCCATGCGGTAGGTCTTCTGAACCTCCAGAGCCTGGATTCTTGCTGTCTACTATTGAAACCCAAATAGCCACTTTTGTCGTGAGTTTTCCATCATTTACAGTCACGTATAAATAAAGATCCTCTCCTCCCTGAAACAGAACAAGTTAATTGGACAAATCAATGTGGGGTGAATTAATTACCTTACCCTTCCTGCTAGGCTTTCATTGGTGTAAACCACACCGGTTCTGCTGTCTATGCGAAACGGGATTGTTTTTGGTGTTGAGAAGTTGACATTGAAGCTTATGTGGGATTCAATGCCGTATTCTAATGGTTCACCATCTGAATCCGATGCTTTGGCCTTTGTTACCACCGTACCTACTGGTTCGGTGTCGGGTATTACCCATTTTCTGTCAACGGTCAGGACAGGAGGGGCATTGTCAAACATTTGACTCCATCCACCTGAAGTATAAATATTCTTTTAATTTTCTTAATATCTCTATGGCTTATGAACTAAACTTATTATATTTAGTAATTTATTATTTATTTTTGCTGAATTGGACTTATGAATATTATTTTATAATATATTAAGGTTTGAAGCTATCTGATGACCCCCCTATTGTTTGTGTTAAGGCAGATCTCAATTTTTTCAGATTTGGCAGCACTAATGGACAAAACTATGTGCAATTTTTATTTTAAGTTTAATAATTGAGTTCCAGTTGCAATATTCTGGCTTTCACCCCGAAGGGTTGCCACTCCTCGAAATGCTGACCCTAGGGTCTACGTCAAGGGAGTTCACCTCCCTGTTATGCGGGTAGGTTGCTTGTACCTCCCTTAAGCCAGATGCCCAGGGAATTGTAGCTTCCAACTAATGAGATTAAGTTCCAACTTTGACAGTAAGGCAAAATATAATCTAGCCTAAAATTGACTAACTTCTATAATACAGTCGTGCAAATAAATACATTCACACATATGTCTCTGACAAATTTGACTTTCACAAAAGAATATTTCAAGTTTTTCATGTTCGTTTTTTTTTTTTTAGTTAAAAAAAAAGAAACTGACATTGTTTTAGAGGATTTAATGGTGAAACAAATTTTTTACCCATTGGTTACTATTTTTATTTCTTGCGATGGATTTATTTTTTATGTTTTAACTTCTGATTGTAACAAAATTTTGTTGATATCAACTCTAAACTCGGCCACTTTTCAAATATATACTTCCCATGAGAAAATTCAATGATTAAAGGTATCAAAATCATTTCTTTCTCTATGACTTATGACGATTAATTTTAACAACACATTTTGACGATGTTATACATTTTCTGTCTTAAAAGCTGTCTAAAAACTATAAAAGTAATTCCTCCACGAGCCAGGATGTCATGAAGTGAAGTCTTAGTATATAAATTAACAGGCTCAACTTTTCGGTACAGATGACCGACAATTTATTATTTATTACTTTTTTTTAGATCAATTAAGAAAAGATATCTATCAAGAAAAATGAATGGTCTAAGTGCGTTTTTAAGTTCAGCCCCAAGAGTTTTAATATTTTATTAACCTTTAGTTAATTGTTTCTTATTTTGGTCATGTGGCACTGGAACTATCCTGATGCAAAATTTCAATCATAATGGGATTCTACCGTTACTCAAAAATTCTGTTGGATGATAGAAGGATTCGATCCAATTGGCCCAATTGGGTTAAGGACAGTCCAAATCTGAGCCCAAGGCCGATTTATCCAAGAGATTTCTCATTCCACCTCGTTCTCTAGTTAATTATATAGTGAGAAATGCAGGAATTTTTTTGGAGGGGGGAATAATTTTTTTTTCAATAGGCTCATAATAGACTGAAAGAGGCTCCATTTTGTTATTAAGCTCGGATGGAAAGAAGGCGAATAAATTAAGAATTATAAAAGAGTTGTTCATCATGTTTCCATAATAATTACTCCGATTAGCAATAAAGCTAAAGGAACATAAATTCTAAAGAAGTTCCAAGGTTTTATTTTTCATATTAATCACACTTGAAAACTTTTTTTTGCTAGTTTGTTTATGCCTTATCATTATATAAAAAAATAAATGCATTTGGAATTTGGGTGCTTTTAAATTTACAATTCTAAATTGATTTAAGTTAAGGGCATTAAGTTATTTCGATTTGAGATTTAAGGGCTGGTCTTCTAAAGAAAGAAAAACCGTTCCTACCCACTTATTACCAAATCCTAAAATACTATCTAACAGATCGTTGTTTCAGAGTAAGGTGGCAATGAGTTCAATGAGTTGAAAATAAATTCAAAAGGATTAACCAGCAAGAGGGAGACCTATTACATTGGGTAAATTATTAATAACAAAAATATTTCCCTGCCTTCCTTAGGTTAGTTTACATTCTGTTCAAGAGCCACGATGAAAAGCCATGTTGGCTGACTCTTCGGACCCTTCTTGGGGCCTGACCTTTTAGGTTAAGGTCGAAAGAATCTGTTAAGTATAGTAAGACCCCATAATTTTGCTTATCGTAGGAACTAGTTGCCGTGGTCTGCCGGTTTAGGTATGGCAGTGTAGTGGATGGGTTAAAAAAACAAGGTATTAGATGTTTTATATGCCTGTATTTTCAGTAGGCTGATGTGAAATAGAGTCTGGGGAGATGGATTGACAAGTATCGTCCTTTGCCGCAGTTTTTCAACTGAGGTTGCTGGGTTATGATAGGATGCTTTTTAAAATGGCCCCACAGAAAAAAGCCAAGTGGAGTTAAATTCGGTGACCATGAGGTTCTATCCACCTATCCCGGAAGTGACGATTCAAATGTCTCAAGAAATTGGTTAAGGGGTATCCATCAAGCTGGAGAATCATTCTTTGCCATTGTTGCAGAACCACCCTCAATAACTTGAGTAACTGAGCACCAATTAAATTATTTTCGTACAAATAAGGCTCAATTAATTAATTTCCGAGAAGCCAAACCTTGATACTATGAACCATCTGATGACAAGAATACGAAATTCTCGGATTTTCTTCTGCTCACGTTCGAAAATTCCAACGGTTTAGTTAGTATGCCATTAGAGGTGAACCAGGATTCATCTGTCCACAGGATGTATGGAAGAACGTTTTCTTCAGCCTCCTAAATCAAAATTTTTGCAAGTAATCACCCCTGTCATAATCAGAGTCCGAAGTCGCTGGACAAGACCAGATCGATACGACTTAAAATTGTAAGTCCGCAGTACATCTCTAATTTTATTTTTGAAAATTCTAACCCTCCAACATTTTGGAGAGAGGAATTCGGATTTTCGCGAACATACAGTAAAATGATTATTCGGAAATCGTGAGATGCGGTCTGGTGTGACGTAAGTTTCAGAAAAACATTTTCTTTATAGAGAATTTATACAATGCAAAAAAAAAAATTTTTTTTATATTCAATCAAAGTATTTCTACTCTATTTGAGTGAGTGTAAATACTTTGATTGAATATAAAAAATATTTTTTTTGCAATGTATAAATTCCCTTTTTTCCACATCCTACATGTATTTGTTAAATGTAAACAATGTTTGTAAATCCCAGGCTCTGAAGATGATCTCAATAAAGATCGAAACGTTGGCACGATAAAGAAAATGTTTTTCTGAAACCTACGTCACACCAGACCGCTTCTCACAATTTCCGAATAATCATAGACTAACGGTCACTAATCACCACACATTAATACGGTAAAATATTCAGCCCAATATTCAGAAATTACGCCGCCGGTTTCTTTTTGCCATAACTTTGTCACATTTTGACTAATTTAAAATCAGATTGTACCGTTCTTTTCAGCGTAAAGATCCTTTAAAATGTTATGTCAGGGCTTATAGGGTCGTCTTTGAAATTATGAAGTTGAAATGGGCCTGAGGACCCAGTATAATTTTTCTCCAAAACAAAGATAAAAAATATTAAACATACGTTTTGTTGTTTGGGTAGCGCCATTGCTTCAAGAGAAATTCAGCCGGGCCATCTAACAAAGACCCTCTGTATAGCGTGCAAATTGAAAAAGGTCGGCCCAAGTACACAACCTTGAGAAACTCCTGTTTTCTTGGTGATGGAAGCATACAATCCAGCATTTTATTATAAATGTTTTCTTTGTGGTGAATGGTTCACATTTTGTTGTGAATATCGTGACATTTTATCATACCAAGTTTATAAAAAAATCCTTTATGCCAGATGTCAAAGCCCGCTAAGATCCAGGAAATGAGTTGGCTGGGACTTCCAGACTATCAGCCACATTGGGCAATCCAGGTCTATGAAACTAAACCGAAAGTTTCTTATACAATTATATTCTCTCTTCTTGATTAAATTTTTTAATATTTTGCACCAACCGGACCGTAAATTTGAAAAATATAATAATACTTTTCTATTCATATTAGAAATAGGATGTGTTCAAAATGAGGAAGTGGTTCATTAAAGGCTGTTAATCAGTGAAAACAAGGTGAAAGCGAACATTCACTTTTATCTTATTGTTGTATGATGAAACACGCTCTTCTCAATCCGCCTGTGAACTCTTGCTATTCGATTTGAATAGAATCAGTCGTGACAAGAAAAGCCAAAAAAGCTAGCAGACCTGAGGAAAAGATTTCTTTTCTCATTGACAAAAGTGATTGATTTTGTGTGCCCTTTTGAAGGATCTTCTTCTAGGTAAATTTCAAACAACGATTGGTTAAGAAAATCTTAAGGATGGATAATTATTACTACCGTCAGGGAAGTTGTACGGCCGAGCCGCCTTGGGGAAAAGTTTTTCTTAGAACGATCGGATTTCAGTGCAGGAAGAATGTCGAAAAGCACGTAGTCCCTGGACCTGGTGGGATGTTGTTTGTACCTCAAGGACGACGTGTCTCTCGTGGGAAAACTACTGTTCCGGGAACATTGACGTCATTGGCGAAAGTCCGTCATTGGGACACGAAAGGATGCGCGAAGAAATCGTTTACAACGCGTGCGACCTGGAAAAGTCCTCGATCGAAATTATTTTCCTACCAATTGACAATTTTCATGCTTTTCCCGACGGAGAAAGCTGGGGGATTTGAATGATGTAGCTTCCATCTCGAATTAGAAATACACTTTTTTAAATATTTTTTTTTTCAATTAATTCCGGTGATTTACAGACCCTCTACTCTACTACCTAAATCTATTGTGGATTGGTCCTACTTTCTGTCCATACAATGGAAAGTACCCTAGATGCCGCATCGTTAGTTTCTTATTATTTGTTTTTGTCTTCCTAAAGTGGCAGTAAGATGAATAACATCCTTTCTTGGCAAGAGAAGTTACCACACTACCTTGGCTGTAGTCGGTGAAGAAGTCGATGACTTCTTCAATGACTACTCAAGATACATTTTTCCTCTATTCGAAATATTTATTAAACTGTATACCTGGCATTTCGGTTAACTGTGACATTTTATTTTTCTCAATTTGGCTTAGTAAACTTTCATCATATTGTGGTGGTCTAGATGTCTAAACTGAGGCGG